AGGCTAGAACCCAGATCTCCTGATTTCCAGTCCTGTGCTGTTAACCACTACACCCCACTGGCTCTCTAACACATTTCAAGGTCAGTAAACATGGGCTTGATTTAAATAATCCAATAATCTGATTTAAAACAAACTAACAAACACCATATTCCATGTATTTACCTTCCTGGAGCATGCTAACTTGCCCAGTATTTAGATCAGATTTCAAGTGGCTCAGTTAACTAGGCAATGGAACATCTCTTGTGAAGTTAGCACATCTGTTCTTTTGAGAATTTGACAGGTATTATACTGACATTACAATTTTAAAAGAACTCAAGAGATAAATTCTGTATTACCTATACTTACTTTAGTCAAAAAAGTGGAGTAATACATGCCATGGTAAATGTAAGAAGAGATTTTTTAAAAAAGAAATGGGAAAATTGTAGCTTTGCTACAAATAAAAAATAGACAAAATCTTAAATCGATTACTTTACCACAATATTATAACGCTATCCCAGAAAACCCAGGAAACAACTTTTCCACATTCCCTTCTGCAGCCTGACTTTTATAGGCACACAGTCCTGCATTTATATGCTGCATTTACATGAACCAGAAAAGACCCCTACTTGAAAAGGGTCCTTGAATGGCACTTTTCAACAACAGTTTCTTTAAGTTTCAGGATATAACCTAGAAACAAAAATCACTTGCTTTACTTTTCTCTGCATTTTAAGCAATTGATCACATGTCCTTTTCCACCTTAGGATATTCAACATCTCCTTTTGTTCTTCCAGTCCTTATCAAAGCATTGTTTTACCTTAATCCTGCTAGAGAGATACCAAGATACAAAGGAGTATTTCAGTCCTTTGTGCTGACAGCACAGAAACCAAGATTAGAAAAGTAAAATGAAGTGAGGTGAAAGGCCCAAGAATTCTCTAGGACTACATTGAACTTAGCAAAGATGAATCAAACCTATATGGCACACCAGTTATGTACGACACTTGCCTAGTAAAATTTGTTCTCTGAACATTTTTAAAGCTGCAGGATAAAAACACATCTAATTGTCTGAGAGGATCTAGAAAGGTATTGTTGGATTGACATGCAGATCCCATGAGAAAGACAGAAACATAGAAACAGAGAGAGTCAGAAGGGGTCTCCCAGGCCACCTAGTCTGACCCCTGGCTCCAGCCAGCTCCGCTCATGACATGCCCACCATGTGCATGTCCAGCCTGTTTTTGAACACCCTCACCGATGGGGCCTCAGCGACCTCCCGTGGAAGCTCACAACCTCCCATGGAATATAGTGTAGTTCCAAGTAGAATGCATTATTTAGGACACAATCCTAGGCATGTATAGACAGAAAGACGCCCTACAATCCCTAGTGTGCCTCAGCCAGACATGCTGGGAATTGTAGGATCTTCTGCTGTCTGAGCATGCATAAGATTGCCTCCTCAAGCTCCTTTCACTGGGTAAGCCTTCAATGGAAATTGCACAGGCACATGGAAATATTCCGCACTGTACGCAATGGGATTTGCTGCCAAATTAAACTCTAAATTCATCATTTGAAAATGAAAAAGAAAAAGAAAGATCGCACAATAGAATAATGGCATTTTCCAATGGAGAGTAAATCTTTTTCCATCTAGGGGCTTCAGGAGGGATACTGGGCCCTGGGAGAGCTACATAAGTCATTGGCTACATTCAGATATCATGCTTCCTCCTTCAGAGTTTTGTAAGGTCAGAAAAACTTTATGCTCATATACTCTGTGCTCAAATATGCCTCCCTGAGACACTGTGAAGGGTGGGATGCAAAAAAATTACATGAATACATACATAAATATACTCCCTCTTCTCTTTTCTTCCTGCCCGCCCCCCCAAAAACATAGTCAACTTTGGTTTGTCCAGTTTCTCCAAATCAGGAAAGCAAATTGAGATCAAACCTATTAAACAGAGCAGTATTGACTTGCAGTTACAGATCTTGGACTGACTGATCTCTCTTAGACTAAACTCCAGTTTCCTTATTTTTGGATATAATAGGAAACAGTGGTTTGTTCAGACCTTTTAGTCTTCTTCCCCTGCACTGAAAGGAGATAACGGGGGGAAGGTGCAGGTCTGAAGCTTGCTGCAACTTCTCATAATACTAAACCATAACTTCACATTATGTCTGAATCAGACCAAAGTGTTGTTCGCTGACATGCTATCTGTAGGAAATCCAACATAATGTAAACAAGAAGCTGTTGTAAACAGAACAGAAATAACAACATGGATCTATTCTTTGACTTGGGATGAAGGAGCATGAACCGAAGATTGTAATGGACTTAAAAGAAAAAAGTTTTTCTTGCATTTGAAAGGATGTTTTATTTCATTATGTTTCTGAGTGACTTTGTGGCCAGAAGAGTAGCATATAAATATATTTTTCAATAAATCCATATTTCTGTTAATGGAAGATTTCAGGGTTAGGACTTGGTAATGCAGCAATGAATGGCTAAGAAAGTAATATTCTCAACCATTTTCAGTGTTTTAGCAAGATGCAGCTGCTCTGCTCCGCAGTACCAACAGGAGTTGGCAGGCCAGCATTAAACAATCATTTCAAATATGCAGCACTGGAATTGGTGATATCTGGATGGGCTCGAGAGTTCCCTCTTACAGTTCTGTTCTTGTTGGAGAAAGTCTATAATTTTCATGTTTAGTTTATTGATGTCTTGTCCTCTAAACATTGCATAAAAACATTTGTTAGAGGGAGGGGGAATCATGAGTTGCCATTGCTTTTTTGTTTACCGTTTTCCCCTGCTCTAAACTGGTGTCCTTCACTCTTTCAATGGAAATGTCATAATTTACCAATCCTATTTTTTGGGGGGGAAAAAGCTTCCAGTGGCACTTCAGAGCATCATCTGGTCCACTCTGACAACAACCCTGTTGCTCACCAAGAGCTTGTCTGAGGTGCACCACAGAAGCCTCGTTAAATTCAGTCAACCTGTCCCCCATCACTTATAACCTCATTAAAGGGCCTGTTGGGCTTGTGTGGGAGCACCTGAGTCCACAGAGCATGGTTAAATTAAAGCAATGACATCAGCTGGGGTGCCATTCATTTGACTTTGCTATTGATGATTAATCAGTTGACCATATCTATACGTTTGTTTGTTTATTTATTTATTTTTCGATTTATATCCTGCCTTTTTCCTATAAAGGGCTCAAGGCAGCTGACATTTCCTCCTCCATCTTATCCCCACATCAGCAACCATGTGAGGTAGGTTGGGCTGAGAGTCTGTGACTGGCCCAAAGTCACCCAGTTGGCTCCATGGCTGAGCGGGGACTAGAACTCAGATCGCCTGAGTCCCAGTCCCAGGCTCTTAACCACTACGCCACACTGGCTCTCACACTGGTTTAGGTTAAAATACTGTACAAACTAAGATCGTAGAGCATAGGCTCAGCCAATCCAGCAGTAGAACTTTATCCTGGTACTGTAACATCTGGCTTGCTCATGAAGCACCTGATATACCCCGCAACCTTTTGTCCATCTGTTATTCCTCCTGTAATATCCTGAGGCTTCATGAAAACTAGGCCACATTTATGATGGTCTTTGTGTGCTACTGAATCATGCATGTTGCAGTCTAGCTGTATTCTACCGCTTACTGGTGGTTGTGACTTCAAAGGGTCGAAGCTGTTTTACACTATTTCATGTTTGACCTCAGGTAGGGGGAAAATATTGTGCATAGGAAACCATGGTCTTCCATCTCTAACTGAGTTGGCTGGTTTGTTGTTGCTGCATGCCATCAAGTCTTCTCCAACTCATGGCAACCCTTTGAATGAAAGTTCCCCAAAAGGTCCTCTCCATGGCAGCCCTGCTCAGATCTTGTACATTCCAGTCTGTGGCTTCCTTTATAGAGTTATTCCTCTTCATATTTCGTCTTCATTTTCTTCTTCTCCCTTCAGCTTTCTCTAGCATGAATTTCTTCTCTGGGGAGTTTTCCCTTCTCATTGTGTGCCCAAAATATGATAGCTTGGTCAGGTTTCCTTCTAGGGAAGGCTCTGGATTGATTTAATCTTGGAGTCAGTATAAAAGAAAATATTGGTGGCTATTTTTAGTGTACACCTACAGAGCAGCACAGCTGTGAATAACTATATTCCCTTTATCTTCGAAAATGCATGCCTGCACAGTTGTACAGGTGCATGTGCATTTGCCAGACTTTAAAAGGACAAAAAATAACTAGAAACAGCAAAATGACAGCCCTGTACTGTAGCTTCTGGCACGTGCTGCACTTTAAAGTAAATGATAAAGCAAACATGGCATTCAAAACTCCTACTTCTCCCTCAGTTACAATGCCATGCACTGGTATGTGGCATTTTGTTGCATTGTAAACACAGGGGATATTGAGCAGTATTCATTAACACAGTGGGAAGCACCCAGAACCAGATGGGTGAGCACCCTTCTGCAGGCCAGATAGGGCCCATGGGCCAGATGTTCCCTGCCTCCACGTTAACATGTTCCCCCAGAGCAGCTACTGAGTGTGTGCGTGGGCAGGAGGCACGGTAGTGACTCGGAAAGAAAGTCTCCAGTGCAGATTCTGCCCCGGTCATTAAACTCCAGAGCTGTGCGAGTCACATGTCTCCAGGGCTGAGTCTCTCCTTTCCAGGCTAGTCTGTTTTCCCATGGGTCGATCCATAAGTCCATTCTGTTCTAGTTCTACATTAATCTGACATTCCAAATTATAAATCTGCATATAACTTCATATTCAAATATGAATTTAAGTATCTTCAAACAAGTTTTCTTTAAAATAGGCATATCTAAATGCATGCTCATTTAAAATACACATTTCTGAATGTATTTTCATTTAAAATATAAAATATATTTGATATGCATTTGCAGGGAGAAATGCATCCGAAAACCTGTAGAACTGCAGCATTAATTGTGTTCCAATCCACTCATCACTCTGAGAGAGCTGGACCAGGTCAATTTGCTCTAAATGTGAACCCAATGAAATCCTTGAACATCCCTCCAGTGTGTGATTTTGTTGCTTTTCTGTACAGCCCCCACACTGGGATACAGTCATATGGACCTGATGTACCCAAGATTCCCACCGCCTGCATTACAGTGGAAGATGCTGAACTGATGGCTCGCCTGTCTTCTCGAGGCACTAAAGTTGTTGTGACACTGAAGATGGTGGCCAAAACCTTTCCAGATGCTGATTCCTTTAACACTGTTGCAGAAATAGTTGGCAGTAGATACCCTGAGCAGGTGAGTAGCACTTTGCTTTTTTCATGCTTGAAGAACAAGTGAAAAACGGAATTGTGATTATCATGTGTCATGTTTCTGGAGTCACTGCAATACACTGAGATCTGATGTTATCATTGAAAGTAATAAAACTATCCCATCACGAAGAATGCATTGCACAAAATATGCTTTTCCCTGTTAGATTAGTTTTCATAAATAGCAGATCATAGTCCAGACTGGTACCACTTCAGAGAGGGAGAAAATACCTGTGCATAGAAAACTACAGGTCAGGAAGATGGAAAGATGGATGTAACTGTGGATTTTAGAGTGGGCACTTTTATTCTGTTAAAAAAAAAAATGGAGATGCATCACCAAAACTGTGCATAAATTTACTGATACATTGTATTTCCATTTAAATTATAGTAATTATTTTCTCTAATGGAAACAGAAATGCAATTCAGAATAACCAGAAAAACTGCAACCTGGCAAGCGGTGAGCCCACTCAGTCTGCAGTCCAAGTGCTAACTGTCCATGGGGTACATCAAGGCTCCCCCATCTTATGGTCCTTTATATTTAAATAGGCAATGTGTACAAACCAGACACTTGGAGCACAATTCTAGCATGCTGAGAAAGAAAAAGTTCTACACATTCTAGGATTCCCCAACCAGAATGACTAGCTGGGAAGCACTGGGACTTGTGGAACTCGTTTCCTCTCTAAGCATGCACAGGATCACACCCTTACTCACATATATTTTGGAACTGCAAATCCTAGAAGCAGCACTGTCCCACACTGTCTCCCACACTGAACAGTGCTTTGTTCCTTTCTAGGCACAAGGAAACCTAAGGCTGTCCATTCTAAAGAAAGCATGAACCAGAAGGAAATCTCTCTGTCATTCACCCCACAAGTTCTAGTTGAATTGTGCAAACAGACCCACTCTGTCCTAGAGAAGCACTGGGCCAGGAATCCCCTGCTTCCAGTGTTGCTTGTTTGGCTTTACCACTCTTTCTGCTTGGCTTCACCAAATCTCACAAGATCTGGTTAACTGGTGCGTAGAACCAGAGAAATCTTTTCCCATAAATATCCTCAAGCAGAATCTACAATTTAGCTTCAGTTTTTCCTCCCACTGTAATGGGGTTTCGCCCTGGGCTATCTCCCTCAGATTTCCACACCCAATGCAAGAGACCCTTCTCCCGCACTTATTTGGACCCTACACATACACACACAATCCCTTTTGAACCACATATCAGTGGAAGTTCCTTGCAGAGTGATCACATCTGTTTATTCCTTACAGAAGATTTATTTCTGGAGCCATGTTGCAAGTACTTCCCCTGATGTTCAACATTGTTCTTGCCTACTATTTTTAAAAAAGTTTATTTCACAGATATGGCTGAAAAATTAGGGTTTCCCTGAAACTTCAGGAGGAATTTTAATGAGATAACTTCATTATGCTTTACTAACTAGACTGAAACCACTTAAATCCGCTGGGTCCTTTTCCCCATATCGGAGTTCAGCTAATATGTTTTCCAAATGTGTAATGCATTTAATATCTAATGAAGATATATTACAACACATGACATGACATCATCTAATACATATAGACGCACTTTATTCCCTCAGTACCCACCTGGCTCTAAGATCTGCTGAGGCTGGTGTTTCGGGGGGCCCTGCTCCCTCTTCAAGATGGATGGTTTAAGAGCTGTTAATAGATATGCCACCCACTTTGGATTTCTTACCAAAGATTTAGAAGGCCAGGTCCGATATTATTGTGCTCCTGAATTTCAAGTTAGATTACATTTCTCAGAAAAACAGCTGCTTTCTGTTTGCAGTGCATAGTAAAGAGGGTCGTAAGAGCTGAATCTGGCTTGGCTTTCTCTTCGTGGAGGGCTGCGCAGCTCTGCTGGTGGTGCTGCTGGTATTCTTGTGCAGAGGCTGGTGGGAAACCTTCTTCCTGCTGAAGGCTCCATTCTCTTTGCCACACTTTTCCCTTCTCTCTTTCTGACATCCACATCTCTTTCTCCCCTCCTTTCTTCCTCTTCCTCCCTTTCTGGTGTATTTACAGATAGAAGGCTTTCAGAATTAAACCTAAAGTCCTAAGTTGGCCATCAGACCCTGGAACATACCTTGAGGAAAGCAGGGTTTTATTTCAGCAAGGACTAAACTCTGCAACCAGTTTGCAGTGCTCAGCTCTGTGATTCAGATGACACTGTGAATACATGCAGAGTGCCTTGTCCTTGTGGTTGAATAACCCCAAGCTGTCCTTCACACAACCGGGATTAAAGAACAATGCTTCTGATAGAACAGCTGCCAGTCAAACTTTATACTAAAGTAGTAAATCAGTAAAAATGAACAGGTATTGAAGATGATCCTCCCCCTTTTCTTCTAAATGTCAATAGTGGTATTAAAAATCTAGCTCCATAACTGTTAATTATTCCCTACCTGATAATTTGAAGCTCTAGTACTTTGCCTCAAAAAGTGAAGGGGTTTTAAAAAGATGCATTGCAAGCACTGATACTTGCTCATCCTAGAAGTGGTAAAAGAATGCTGTAATTTTTCAGACATGACAAAGCAAGCATGATTCCAAAGAAAAGTCCCCAGAGTGATTGCTACAAGCCCACCTGACGTAATGCAAGAAGCAGCTGTACTGTGATCTAAGACTGAAGAACTTGTCTTTGTGTCACTATGCTGTTTGACTGAATTAGTACATATACGTAACTGTGCTATGAAAGTTTAGTCAGAAAAATGGCCTTAAATCTTCCAGCATGACCCAGTTGGCCATGGGTGTGCACATTTCTGATCTGTATCCATTTTGCATGTACTCATTCATAAATCTTTCCTTTTCCAGCTTTTATAACAACAAACTGTATTGAAAATTCAGATTTGAATGTTGTTGTTGTTAGTCACGAAGTAATGTCCGACCCATCGTGACCCCATGGACAACATTCCTCCAGACCTTCCTGTCCACCATCCCCCAGAGTCCACTCAAGCTCACACCAACTGCTTCAGTGACTCCATCTAACCACCTCATTCTCTGCCGTCCCCTTCTTCTTTTGCCATCTATTGTTCCCAGCATTAGACTCTTTTCCAGGGAGTCCTTCCTTCTCATAGCCGTAGCTTTCCTCCCCAGGAGCAAGCATCTTTTAATTTCTTGGTTGCAATCCCTGTCTGCTGTGATCTTGGAGCCCAGGAAAATAAAACCTGTCACTACCTCCATTTCTTCCCCAACTATTTGCCAGGAAGTGAGAGGACCGGATGCCATGATCTTAGTTTTCTTAATGTTGAGTTTCAAGCCAACTTTTGTACTCTCCTCCTTTACCCGCATCAAGAGGCTCTTTAGTTCCTCTTCACTTTCTGTCATTAGATTGATATTTGACTTCAAATATGCATTGGAATCTGTATATACCGAAATATATTTTCTTTCAAAGCATACATTTCCAACAGCATGTTATACTTAAATACACACTTGTATATGCATTGTTGTACATTTTTGAACTAACTGTATGGTAAAATCTGAAGAAATGTGAAATTTGAAGGATAACGGCAGCGTAATCTAGAATTGCAAGTACAATATTCATTCATCTATTTATATGCCACGTATCACTGCCAAAGGCCTTCCTAGGCAGCTTACAAGTAATATGTAGGAAGATCTCAGCTTAATCTTAAAACTATCCAGATTGCAGTATCTGCATGTGGCAACAGAGTTTGTCAACTTGCAGTGTTACGCCTGTGCTTTCTGACATCTTTCCCATTCTTTTGGAGGGACAGGTAAAATGCAGTCTTTTTTGGACTTGTGAAACAAAGTGGCTTTCTACTAGCGGCTTTATTCCACTTTGTTCCACTATGCCATAAGGTTACCTTGAGGTTCTGCAGTAGAAGTTACAAAGGCAGGTAGAAAAACCTTTGTGTAGAGATCTTGATTCTGCAAAGGCTCTAGAGCATGTGTAGCAGATTTAAAGCCATCTAGGAAACTCTGACAATATATATGAACTGAAAAGCAGATTACCCTTTTCTTAGCCTCTTGGTTTCTGAGCTACACTGTAGGCACGATGGTAGCTCAGCTGTTAATTCCCCATAATCCTGTCACTCATCACCAACCAGATTATCTGAAATACAAGGTGAAAAGACACCACTGTTATCCAATGTAGGCATGATCAGAAGCCAGCCTGCAACAGGTTCCCATTGGCTCTGCTGCATTAGCAAGTAGTTGAATGTCAATAGATCTAGGCCAGCAGTCATATGGGACCTCCAGCAGCCGAGTTCTGGCATCCCTGTCCAACTTTTAAAACACTGTAAGAAAAAGAGAAGAGGCACAGAGTGGAGGAAGAGAAAATGAGCAACCACAGTCACCACAGCAGGATGGCAAAGGCTCAGAGCCCAGAGCGTCTGCAATTTCCCCGGCCAGAAAGCTACAGTGCAATGGAGCCATTCCAAAGAGCGAGCAAGATGGCTTCCACCCCACTGACACTGTCCAGGACAAGATGAGCAGGGGACCACAGCCAGGCAGGGATGAGTCGAGTCTCTCCTGCCCTATTCTTGCTTGGGGCAGGAATAGGCCACGGATGGCATCATCTGAGGCCTCCAAGGTACACGTTTCATGACAATCATTTCAGATCCACTGGAAAGATAAATTGCACGTATGTTTTCAATCCTTTTATTTAATTCTGAAATGATGAATTGCTTTTTAGCAGTATTTCAGTCACTGTTGAGATGACATCATTCCTGTTATAAACTTATATAACCAAACAAAGGCACTGTTCCATGTGATTAGCTCAGCAGAAAAGCCTCATCCCGTTTATTGCCAGACTCTCTACCACCACATGTATGTTTTGGATTGTTGGCAGACTGGTAACACTGTAAACTCTGAAAAATACATAGTAAAAATGGAAAGAATGTATAAATGGTAGCTTTCTACTTTTTAGAATCCAATCCATAAATCTCATCTAGTTCTTAAGTCCATGTGCCCTAAGTCAATGCTTCATTAAAGCATTGGGTTGTCAGTTGTCCGCAAAAGCAGGCACTTTTTCCT